CTGGCAGGAACACCAGGGATTCCACACAAAGGAAGGAATACAAAGAGAACTGGATTCTTTTTCATACAAGTACATGGTACAGCAGGCACATATCGGGAGTATGAAATGTTGGGTTTACATATTCTTTAAGCTTTGACAAATAAACTGGAAGCTGATTCTGTGCAGAGCTGCACCAGATTGTGTACTCTTCAGTGTTAGTAAATCCATCCCACTGTGTTTCTGACTGCTATTCTCACACAATTTGAAATGAGATTTGGTAATGTCATTGTTTTAGCTTCTTTCTGTTCTCCTTGCTGAAGAGGCAGCTGTACGTGAGGACCTGCAGTGAAATGAGCTCCCTGTTTTTTGCTTCATTCATTCTGTGGATCTGTGCTTTATTGATTGTACTGTTGCTTCTTAAATATTTCTGCACAAGTTATCAGATCAACAGTCAACAGAGTGACAGCTATGACAGGAGGAAGCAAATCCTTGCTGTTTTATCAAGATGCTGCTTCCACACAGAGAACAGTTCAGATGAAGACATGCTTAGTCAGCTATGGAGAAAGTCAGCTGCAGGGAGCCTCCAGGCAATAATGGCAACTAGTTCTTTGCCCTCTGTAGATCATGTATGAAATGTCAAGCTGTTGCATAATCTCAGTACAGCTGTCGCCCTTACTTCCTGTAGTTGTAGTTCATTCATTCACAGAACTCTGCGTATGAATGATGTGGCCATGTAGGTGGAGCCCTGCACAGTTGCACTTTTTTAAAATTGTGACATCGGGTGCTGTCACAGCAGGGGATTGGAGGTGCATAGGCAGGTTCTCTTTGGTAACATGTTACACCATAAATACGCATGTAACATTTTACCAAAGATGAACTTCTCCTTTGAGTTAAAAAAAAGTTTAGACTTTAGAAAGATTTTAAGTATCTTAAGAGATAAATACCACTAAATTTACTAGACTATCCTTTGCTCTCAGTGAAAATGCTGCTTGCTGCAGTAACATTGTCGTGGTCTTTCATTGCATAGCTGAGTAGCAGACACACACAGATCCATAGCTCTGCTCAAGACTGGCCTCTCAACTCTTCAATAAAAGCAGGAAAAGATCAGCCGCACTCCAATTCGCTTTTCTTGCAGTAGTTTTAATAATCAGTACATTAACTGCATACAGTCATGTCTCCCAACTAAAACCAGCCTTCCTTGACGCATTTCACCAAAAAGTGAAAAAAAAAAATAACCACTTCATTCAACTTTATGATGCGGTGACATGCATTGTGCTGTGTAAAAATGCAGATGCTGTGTTTTTACAAGAGACACCCCACCGCACATGTATGGTGGAAACAGGGAACACAGAGAACAACTAGTTTTATGTGCCTTTACTCTGTTCCTGTGTTGATCAGTGCAGCTCAGTGAGCTGGATATGAATGAGCCTTAAATGTATAAAAATACACTAAAACATATGAGAGTTGGTGTGTGTATGTACAGTATATACTGTATGTGTGTATGTATACTGTATATAATAACACTGCGCTTTCCACCTATTTTGCAAGGGTTAACCACCTCCCGTCTGGCCGTTGTATATAAACGGCCGGACGGTGGCACTGCAGGGTCGGGTGGCTGTTTAATAATGGCCTCCCTGCCCCCTGCTTGTGCGCGCTCCCTGGGAGGTCGCAGCACCACGATCCAGTGCCCGCTGTGTCCTTCGGACACAGTGGAACACCGATCATCGTACGGGACCTCTGTGCGAGGTCCCGATCATGTGATCACTGATTGGCCATCAGTGATCACATGCAGAGTAGTAAGCAAGATGTCACTTCTGACAAAATTGCTTACTACGTGTGAAATCTGTGAATGATCAGAGGTCACATGATACAAGGCTATTCACAACAGCCTTGTACCATGTGACAAGCTGTGGCCAACCACAGCTAACCCAGTAGTTCTCAATGGCTGCAAGAATGCAGCCAGAGAGGAGGAGAAATTATTGCTTTTACAGCCTTTATGGGTGTAAAAGCAATCAGTGTAAAAAAAAAAAAAAAAAAATCTTTATCACCTCCCACACTGCTAGGGTGACAGTATGTGAAAAAAAAAAAAACATAAATAATAATATAAAAAAATAAAATAAAAAATGTAAAAAAAAGTTTAAAAATTAGAATTGTTGGTTATAAGCTTATTTGGGTTATTTTTTTTTACTAAAAAGATAACGGAATAAATTTTGGCCAAATTTTATGATGAAATCTTATTTATTTGCAAAATTTTTATAAGAAAAACACTTTTTTTCAAAATTTTTGGACATTTTCATTTACATAGCAAAAAAAATAAAAATCCCAGTGGTGAATAAATACCATCAAAATAAAGCTTTATCTGTCTCAAAAAATGCTAAAAAAATTCATATGGGTACAGTGTTGCATGACCGTGCAATTTGTCATTCAAAGTGTGATAGCGCTGAAAGTTGACCTGGACAGGAAGGGGGGTAAAAGTGTCCGGAATTGAAGTGGTTAACGGCTCCTTTAGGTCTAGGGGGCATGGAAAAGTAGATTTACTTATCTGATCCACTGCTCCTCTGCCCTGCTAGACTGGTCCCTGATATATCAGTTCCTGCTGTCATCAAGACCAACACAGGAACCCTGCATTGGGCATTAGGACATGCTATGGGACAGTTAACTGCAGGAGCATGTGGGAGTGCTAATGGTTTTAGGGCCAGTTCACACTACATAAATGCACGTCGGATGCATTCCAGATACATTTTTGCTTACAGTTCACACCACACGCAGTTCCGGTGCAGTTTTGACGCAGTTTGCCATGTTCCAGTATGGTTCTGTGCAGAAAAAATGCAGCATGTTCTAAGTTTTTTCTGCACCGGAAACTGACTGGAACTGACTGCACTAGTGTGAACCAGAGCCATTGGAACACATGGAAAACACTGTGCATGCATTTTTGATGCAGAAAAAAAGCGCACTGAACTGCATCTAGTGTGAACTAGCCGATACTGTCCTCCAGACTAATAGAGCAGTTAACCCTTGCAATGTGGGAGCAGCCCCACTACAAGTAAGAATGTATAGTAAGTTGTTTTTTTGGGGGGTTTTTTATTTTATTTTTATTTTATTTTTTTTGTAGTACTGGCTTGTTGCCCCTACTCTCAAAATGATTTCCCTACATATGGTAGGAAATGCATGCAATAACAAGTGCTTCTAGTGGCTGGATACTCTCATAGCTGTCCTCTAGGTAACCCCTGCATAGCACAGCCCTCGTTTATCTAGGAAAGACCTATACCTTCTCATTAATCCAGAGTCTTGCCTATTGAATGCTGCAGCTCTAGAAGTTATCCCCAGACAGAAGGGAAAAGCGTCAAAGTGGCTTCAGCATTCTGGTAACATAAAGGGATTTCCACTAATATATTCTGGGTCAGTGACTGCGGGACGAAAGTAGTTGTTCATTGCTGTGTCCTAATTTCTTGCATTTGACATTTAGTAGAGGCAGTTCAGGCTTGACAAAGCAGCAGTGTTGTTTGTGGCCTTACATAAAGTAGTAAGAGCATTTGTCCAGGTAATTAATGTTACATGTTTATTTAAGGCTGCTGGTTACAAAGGTGGGAGTTGGAGTACATTTATATAGGACATTGCTGGTAACTGTCACGGTAAGCTATGGGACTTGAAGTGTCAGAGTGGAGAGTTATGTACCCTTCCCAAAAGAATCAACAACTCTTAGAGAATGATCTCTATGGAGGTTATTCCTACTGTAAGTCTCACAGGAGCTTCTACTGTACCAGCTTGGGAGAAACTGCTGTTTGAGCTAAAAATAAAACTTTTCCTAAAATAGCAACCTTTTGCTGAGAAGAAAAGAAGTAGAAGAATGCCTTTGTTTTTTCCATCCTAAGCACCCCATTATACACAGTCTGTGCTCCACTGTAGCTATAGCAGGCCATGTAACATCTATTTGACTCAAACAGTACAAATGTCCCAGTAATAAAAAGCATCTTATTCATTATGGTGTTGGCAAGAGCACTGAATATGTTATTATAGGTTAAAAAAATGTAGAGTGTGTGTGTATACATATATATATATATATATATATATATGTATATATATACATACACACACACATACAATGCTTAGTATAAATAAATGAGCATACCCCAACAGACTTGTCAGAAAACCTTTCCTTTCAGAATCAACATTTTCTATGGGTCACTATACTACAAAATACTCCCACAAATGCGGCCCATTGATTGCAAACAAGATTTGTTAATTTGCTCACACAAAAAAAGTATTTTTCCTAACAAATTAATTCAAGACCATGTTGACAAAATGAAAACACCCCAATAAAATTCTTAGAAGCAGAGCTAAATTTTAGACAACACATTCCTAATTAACAAGAATTCAACTACAGGTGAGTCTAAATATTTTTTAAGCAGGTGTCCAGCAGGCAGTTGATTATAAAAGGGTGTTAATTAAAAAAGAAAACCCCTTCCTGTTTCATGCTGTCAGCAATGGCACCATATGGAAGAGAAATGTAACAAGGCCTGAGAAAAAAAATAATTTTTTTACGCAAGAAAGGTGAAGGCTACAAGAATTCAGCAAAGCTTTACTTATCAGTCAGAATAGTGTAGCAAAAATAATACAAAAATTGAACAAAGATGGAACTGCAACCATCTCACAGAGATGTCCAAGCCGTCCATGGAAGTTAACATCTTGACAGAAGCATCTTCTGATGAGAAGGGTTGAAGAAAATTGCCACCCAAGTTCACTGCATTTAGCTAAAAAAGTAGAAAGCCAAACTGGGGTGATTGTCTCCCTTGACACAATATGGTGTACACTGCAGAGGAATGGCACGCATTGGTGTCGTTCATAAGGGAAGTCTTTCCTAAAGCCCATGCACAAAAGCCCACCTAGAATTTGCAAGGGTTCATGCTGAAAAAGACTACTGGAGTGATGAGACCAAAATGTTTTCAAAACTGTATGGCGTTGCAAAAGTGAAGAATAAAAAAAAAATGCATGGTGGTGGCAGTGTTCTTCTGTTTGGTTTCATGAGCTCTGCTGGTGTCGGGGAGCTGTATTTCATTGATGGTATCATAAATTCACAGATACAGTTGCAAGAAAAAGTATGTGAACCCCTTGGGATTACGTGGAGTTTTGCATGAATTGGGCATAAAATGTGCTCTGAACGTCATCTAAGTCACAATAGAAGAACACAGTCTGCTGAACATAATACTACACAAACATTAGATGTTGCCATGGTTTAATTGCACATAACATGTAAACATTCACAGTGCAGGGAGGAAAAAGTATGTGAACCTTTGGACTTAATAACTGGCTGACCCTCCTTTGGCAGCAATAACCTCAACCAACCGTTTCCTGTAGTTACAGATCAGACCTGCACAACGATCTGGAGTAATGTGGACCACTCCTCTTCACAAAACTGTTTCAGTGTAGCAATATTCTTAGGATGTCTGGTGTGAATCGCTCTTTTAAGGTCATGCCACAGCATTTCAATCGGGTTGAGGTCAGGACTCTGACTGGGCCACTCCAGAAGGCGTATTCTGTGCTGTTGTAGCCATTGCTTTGTTGAATTACTTGTATGTTTTGGGTCATTGTCCTGTTGCATCACCCATCCTCTGCGGAGCTTCAGTTGGTGAACAGATGGTCGTACGTTTTCCTGCAAAATGTCTTGATAAACTCTGGAATTCATTTTCCCATCAATGACAACAATCCGTCCAGGCCCTGAGGCAGCAAAGCAGCCCCAAACCATAATGCTCCCTCCGCCATGTTTTACAGTGGGGATGAAGTTTTGATGTTGGTGTGCTGTGCCTTTTTTTCTCCACACATAGTGTTGTGTGTTCTTCCCAAACAACTCAATCTTGGTTTCATCTGTCCACAGTATATTTTGCCAGTAGTGCTGCGGAACATCCAGGTGCTCTTTTGCAAACTTCAAACGTGCTGCAATATTCTTTTTGGACAGCAATGGCTTCCTCCGTGGTGTCCTCCCATGTACTCCATTCTTGTTTAATGTTTTCCTTATTGTAGATGTGTCAACAAAAATGTTAGCATGTGCCAGAGATTTCTGTAGGTCTTTAGCTGACACTCTGGGATTCTTCTTTACCTCATGCAGCATTCTGCGCTGTGCTCTTGCAGTCATTTTTACAGGATGACCACGCCTAGGGAGAGTAGCAACAGTGCTAAACTTTCTCCATTTGTAGACGGTCTCTCTTACCGTGGACACATGAACATCAAGGCTTTTGGAGATACTTTTGTAACCCTTTCCAGCTTCATGCAAGTCAACAATTCTTGATCGTAGGTCTTCTGAGAGCTCTTTTCTGCGAGGCATGGTTCACATCAGACAGTGCTTCTTGAAACCAGTAAACCCAAAACAGGTGTGTGTTTTTTAAGGGCAGGACAGCTGTCAGCAACACATCCAATATCATCACACTGATTGGAGTCAAGGTTGGCTCACTCCTGGCTCCAATTAGCTCTGGGAGAAGTCATTAAGCTAGGGCCTCACATACTTTTTCCTCCCTGCACTGTGAATTTTTACATGTTATGTGCAATTAAACCATGGCAACATCTAATGTTTGTGTAGTATTATGTTCAGCAGACTGCGTTCTTCTATTGTTGTGACTTAGATGACGTTCAGAGCACATTTTATGCCCAATTCATGCAAAACTCCACGTAATCCCAGGGGGTTCACATACTTTTTCTTTCAACTGTATACTGCTCTGTATTGAAAGAGAAGATGCTACCATCACTCCGTGCCCTTGGTCGTCGTGCACTTTTCCAACATGACAAAAATCCAAAGCACACATCTAAGGCCACTGTTGCATTTCTGAAGAATAACAGGGTGATAGTGATTCAGTGGCTAAGTATGTCTCCTGATATGAACCCAATCGAACACCCATGGGGAATTCTGAAGAGACAAGTTGAGCATTACTCTCCATCCAGCATCCAGACTCTAAAAGAGGTCGTTCTTGAAGAGTGGGAAAAGATAGATGTTGCAATACATGTTGCCAACTTGTTCATTCCATGCCTAGAAGACTTGGTGCTGTCCTTACAAATCATGGAGGTCATACAAAATACTAGATGTAATATTTTTTGTTGTGGGGTGTATTCATTTTTGCATCAACTAATTTGAGTAAAACTGACGATTTTTTTTAAATTTAAGTTATATTATTAACCTTACTTTCATGTAATACGCTACACAAGTGTTCTATAAAACAAATTTTTGACAGAATTTTGGAAATTATTCTTGTTTTCATTGAGATATTACTTTTCAAAATGGGTGTACGCATTTATGCTGAGCACTGTGTGTATGTGTGTATATACACACACTCTATTGCCAAAAGTATTGGGACACCCCTTCAAATCATTGGATTCAGGTGTTCCAATCACCTCCATGGCCACAGGTGTATGAAATCAAGCACCTAGGCATGCAGACTGCTTCTACAAACACTTGTAAAAAATGTGAAAAAAAAAAAAGTTTTTCTTTGTCTCTATTATAAATTTTGCAAACAGATGATTTTTCTCCTTCACTGATGTGCGTTGATGAGGCTGCACTGATAGGCAGCACTATTGGGCATTGATGAGGAGACACTGATGATGCTGCACTGATATGCAGCAATGATGGGCACTACTGAGAGGCACTGATGGGTGGCACTGTGGGTGGCTCTGCTGGGCACTGAACATCAGGGCACTGTTCATCAGTGCCAATCTGTTCTGTGACACTTGCTGGTTATCAGCAGTATTTTCCTCATGCTGTGACAGCATGAGGAAAGTGCTGCCGGTAACTGGCTGCTGTATTTGTCATTGGACACAGCTGATCACGTGGCAAAAGGCTGCTGTGATTGGCCTTTTACCTTATCATGTGATCAGCTGTGTTCGTAGGACACAGCGATCACGAAGAACGCTGGGGGAGCGTGGGAGGATATCATATGATACTCTCCCAGAACTGTACAACCGCGCTGTAGCCGTCATTTAGCTATAGCGCAGTTGTGAAGTGGTTAAATAGTGAAATCAGGTTTTATTTAATATTTCATTAACATGCTGATAAAAGGAGAAACCAGGGAAGGCAAAATATAAGCAGAAATAAACTTCGGCTCTAAGCCCACAGGTAACACATTGAAAGAGCCAGGAAAAGGAAAGTGTAAACCTCCACCAGTTACATCCAAAGCCTTGGATATTCCATCACCAGAAAGACTCCAAGAAAATAGCGGAAGTGCCATTTTTCTGAGTGCATGCCAGTCAGAACTATGTTTTTAGGGTTTGTCGACCCACTTTTATTAAACTAAATTAAAGGCCAACATAAAGTAGTTTCCCACGTAGGAGTATTTTCATCAAAACGGGAACTGTGAAAATAATACCAAGCCACGTGGCTTCCATCGCTGCTTAGGTCTTAGCTTTTGGCTTTTTGCCGGTCCCTCAGACGTGCACAGTACCTCCATGATCCTGTGCACCTTTCAGCTCACCCAGCTTTCCTGGCTGTCTTATGCCTAGTACACATGATTAGAATATTAGACTAATGGTTTTTTTTTTTTTTTTTGTATGCTAGTTGAAAACGCATAGGTTATTAGAGTTAGGAAAATTCTCGTAAGACAGAACACAACTTTCTCTAATGATGTAATGTATTGTAGTGTAATCTATTCTTTCAATTCCAAACATGTGCGGTCTTGTTTACTCTTTTTTTACGGACAAATACTGTATTGATTAAATGAAAATGGTTTATTCTGTTATCGTACGAGAAAAATGTTCGTACTTGTTCCTTCGGGGAAATTTGCTTGATCTGTTGTGCTGTATACGAACTGTCAGTTTATCAGACGATTGCTCAAAAAACCTTTTTATTTTTGTCCAGTATTCCAAAACTTGTCATCATAAAGGCTGTGCACACCTGCAAACACAGCCTGCTGGTCTCTTCAGCAAGACCTAGACACTGGGCTGAAGACTTCTTCCCTCCCAAAGCTCTTTGAAGTCTCCAAACTCCAGAACCCAATGCCAAAACCATGGGAAAGTTGAAAAAAAAACACCCTTCTGCACTCAGAATCAATATCACAGAGTCTTCACTCTTCATTCATGCAAACCCTGTGTCCCTCCTACTTCTGTCTTCATAGTGGCTGGGCCTCACACTGTCACTGCGTATATGTATGTGTGTGTGTGTAAATATGTGTGTGTGTGTGCGTGCGTGCGTGCGTGCGTGTGTGTATATATATATATATACACACATATTTACACACACACATATATTTATTAATTATACTATATTATAGAAAAAAGCATTATGCGCCCCATGTATATTCCAGCTACCTGCAGTTTCCTGGCATGATTGAACATCCAGATGTCTCTCCATCTGATGTTCTCAGGGGCCCATAGAAGTTTAGTTACACTGTTAAAAAAGTAATAAATGTTGCTTCTATCTATAAACTACTTTTTAGGAAAATTCACACTGTAATTCACTAATGATATATTAAAGTATAAGCTGTAGTAATGTTTCTCCCTCTCTTCTCAGTAGTTGAAGAGGTTTGGAGGTTCATCATTTTTTTGTCTGTAGATTTCTCAGTGGCCATTCTAATGGAGCAATTTAACCTAAGTGTAAATGAGAGATGGTCTTATTGTATGCATGCCAGGCATAATTTAATCAGGAGAAATTACCTGGATTCATCATTCATTAAAGTGAGTTTTAAAGATGATCTCTCTCTGAGATTCTCTGAAGAATTGCACTTGAATCAAAACGGGTTGCTCATACACAGCTAAAATGAACTCTTCATCATTAGATTTTTAGGCCCCTTAAGGACTTAATTTTCTTTTATGTATGGAAAGTTACAGCCGAGAGTCCAAGAAGATATTTCAGACATCGGGAGACATAAAATTCATCACTTCATTGATGGTCTGCAAGGGTGATGTGTCTACTTTTTCTCTACAAAGCCCAGAATATTTTAAATATTGTGCATTTAAAGTACCCAGTGAATGTTCTATAAGGCTGTCATATTCATTATACTAAAGGCCAACAATTTATTTAAAAAGAGTAGCACTAGGCAGCAGGATAAGCAATGTTTTTCATTAAACATTACATTCAGCCCACTTAATATACTTTTAAACCAAGTTTTGCATAAAGCCTTGACAACGTGGTAGTATTTGCCAATGCAAACCCTAAGTGGATGGATTGTGCACCCAATCTATTGTAATGGACATGCGCATGTGCATTGTACATCTTTCCAGTGCTGTAAACACACTGGTAGTTATCTTGTCAGAAGCATATTTATAAAAAGTTATTTAACATTTTGTATATTGCAATGTGTTTTTGCAAATATTATTTTAGATTATTAACTGCTGCTGTCCTAAAATATGAAAAACACAATTTTCCCTGGAGATTAAGCAAAAATATTGTTATGTTAATATCTCCAAAGGTGAGAGGGGAGACAAATGATGACATATGATGTATAAAATACAAGGCTTCTTGTGATTGGCTGAGCAGGATCCATCCTGACTTGATCTTTGTTCCAGGATTGGAAGTCCCTGTACAGCTGCTAGAACAGAGCGTTGTATAGTGCACGTAGCTGATGCTTCATACAGTTTATACAGTACTGACAAGGGGATCGCATATTAGTAAATAAAACAATTTCTTTGGACCAGCTTGCCCCAAATGAACAATTTCAAATTAAATTAAAACTGGAATTAGACTTTAGGGTTGCTTTGCATTTGATAGAAATAAAAACACCCTGGAAAAAATACTTATAAAGTGATTATCAGTTGTGATTCTCAGTTTTTAAGCAAAAGACTGGTATATAATATGGTGAACATGTAATATTTGTACAGTAATGTTTAAGTAAAAATGCCATACAATGTTTGACTGTTTTTCAAGGGTTTCCATATTTTCCTTCTTCTGTGAGGCTAAAATAGTTTTCCGTTTTATCCCTTGCAGGTTGACTACAGCAGAAATTGAGGCACGAGCACAGTCCCTCTACCTGTTTGAGACTTTGAAAACCGACCCTCAGTTGTTTTATGAGCACATGACAAAATACGTGTATCCAACCATTGAAGGCAGAGACCTTCACCGTCTGCTTTACTATTATACTCTTCTGGATCAGTGTGGCTGTTCCCAGTATGTTACACATGCTATCAATCCGGAGTGTCATGTGAAACTCCTGAAGAAACTGAAAGCAGTGGCACAAGGTACAGCTCTCTTTGCCTCCATTTTAAAGTGGTCCTAGCATTGTATATAGCATCATAGGACTAAGCTGTATTATTTCCCCTATTCCACACTCTGGCAGGCTTCTGCCACACAGTGCATTTAGTTTCCCAGAGCCTGTTCTCTACCATGCTATGGCCTGCATTGTATGCATGATAATGATCCCCCCCCAATGATTATGGATGTGGGAGAGAAGTGGTGGGTGTCAAGAAACCTACCAGAACAATAAATGAGAAGTATTACAGCTTCTGCCTCCACCCCTAGACTCAAGCATTTTACACTTGCGATGAGGGGTATATATTTTTTATTAATTGAGTTCAGTTATAATTGCAAGTATATCAATATATTTTTTGAATAGTTTTTTTTAAATTAAATGATCAGAATATGGTTCAACAGTGTCAGTGTGCATAATTTAACTTGACAATAAAATGAGTGATTGTTCAGTTTGACATGGGGCCAGAGAACAGGGAAAACACACAGATGAGCATTCCTAGTTCTGTGCTACAAGATTAATTAATGATCTCATGGCAAGAGGCATTAAAAGGACTTAAAAAGGTGTATTGCAGTGAGGAAGAGGTTAAGTACTGGGAAAAGTTGCACTACTTGATCAACCCCTCACCCCATCCCACCATCTACAGAACTGTACTCCCACGATGCATCAGGTTGTGGGAGTGGAGATCCTGTCATTCAGCTACTCCATGGTCCATTCATAGAATACAGTGCATTGTGGGAGTGTAGTAATACAAGTTCTTTGAATAGTGGAAAGGAAAGGGCGG